TTGTTACCTCACGTCAGTGCCATCAACTTTTCAAACAAAACACAGAAATCTTTCTGTGAATAACAAGGCTGCTGTTGTCGACAGTAATCTTTTCTTTTTTTTTTTTTTTGCGTGCGTTTGGGGACTATTTCTTTGGTATTTGGACCATAGACAGCTACCAACTAGAGCAGGCTGTTGAGTCACTGATGTCACACGAGACGATTGCTGCCTGATAAATACAGACGCGGTGAGATGAAACGGAGAAATGTCACAGCAGCATTTGATACAATGATACTTTCTGCCCTGTTTATAAGTTAAAGTCTGTGGAAAAAATGTTTTAAAACGCTGAACTGTCTTCCTATTATGATATTGTATATCCATTGCGCATGCACACCTCACATAAACACTGCCTTCACCAAGACTCTGACCAGGAATTGAGCGCCTATGCAATCAACTGAATCAATTCAATTACACAATGTTGATAAACTTTCCATCAATCCGTAGATCATGTGACCATAAACTGCTGGGAATGATCCGACTGGATCACGGATCAACTGTGATCCACTTCACCACTCTTATGAACCTTGATCTGTGTGTTTTCTGACAGCCGGCCGACCATCCAACATGTACTTTCAAACTCATGACCAGATTGGAATGATAGGGGCAGGCCCCGGTCACATGGCCGCCATGAATATTCCAATACCCTTCAACCTGGTGATGCCACCCATGCCTCCGCCCAGTTACCTGGGTCAGACCAATGGCCCTGCAACAGGTAGCGCACAGCAATGACACTCCAATAAACTGTTACAGGGATATTTACGAGTTTATTTTGATACAGTTTGTAAATGGTCAAAAATAATCTCATTTATCCATTGAGGTCGTGGAGCTATGAAGGGTAAACCTGGACGTGGAGGGCGGCAGAGGCTCCGAGGCCCGGGGAACCAGGGTGGCAGTCATGGTAACGGACCAAACAGTCAGGCAAGCCAGGATGGGGCCTCCCAGTCCTTCTCCCAGGGGCCGCTGACACAGGGCTACATCTCCATGAGCCAGCCCTCTCAGATGAGCCAGCCTGGACTATCCCAACCAGAGCTGTCCCAGGTAACACCAATGTTACTCTAACCCTTATTTTCGACATCATTTTTGAGATGTATGTTTGTTGCAATAGTTCGTGTTCATCATTGGATGATTGATCGGGAATAATATAACAGCAGAAGAAATTAAATTGATGAGATAGAGCTCATATGGGTTAGATTGAAACTTTGTCTCTGTTCTCATGTTCTCCAGGACAGCTACCTGGGCGATGAGTTCAAGTCCCAAATCGACGTGGCTTTGTCCCAGGACTCGACTTACCAGGGTGAACGTGCATACCAACATGGTGGGGTGACTGGACTGTCACAGTATTAGAGTGTAAGTACATGAAGGTGTGTTTGTGTTTGAAGTTACAGGATAGTATATTAAAAGTGTGGGGTGTAGAGCAGTTTTCCTGTTTCCTTACTCAATTTATTGCTCTCTTCAATGATTGTGTGCCACCCCACCAGTTCTTCCACATACAGAATTTTAATTTTCATACCATCCACTCTTACTCCATCACTTTTTTTGACTGAATATGTCTAACTGTGAAACGTTTAGATGTGTTTCACCTTTTCAAACTATTGAGAATTCCTCATTGTAACAGTTTCCTTCTTTCTCAGAAACTAAATGGGCTGATGATTTGTTGATTTTGTGTCTTTTTGTGTCATTGTCTGTTGATGTATCCTCCCTGCACTTCTGAGGTTTTTGTCAATCCTGTAACTAATCTAAAATGTACTCGTCTTCCATGATGTAAATGGTCTTTGTAATGATTTTGCGAGGTGCATATAGTCTAGCAGTTAGGTCGCGTCCCATGTACGGAGGCTGTACTTAGTCCTCCAAGATAGAAGTCCGACCTGTGGCTCCTTTCCCGTATGCCATTATCCACTCTCTCTCCCTGGTTTCCTACTTTATCCACAGTCGATGCCCCGAAATATCTCTTTAACCCTTTGTTTTTTCAAGCTACACATGCAGGTCTCTGTTATTATGTTGTGGACAAAAAGTAAAATAAACTTGTTTTGTGTCTTTCAGGTCACTTGATGATGGGAGCTAGGCTTGAGCTGAGCTTAGTTCATCAGCTTTTTAATCTGGGAAATAATAAAAACATAAAATGGATACCTGTTTTCCTCTGCTACAACCGAAGCACCACCGAGTGAAAGCGACGGGATAGCGAAACCAAACCAATGACCAGCGAGTGAAATAAGAGGGTAGAAGAAGAAGAGAGCACGAACGGACGGGCAAGAGAGGCCGAGAGAACAAGAGAGAGGCAGGGACAGCTGTCCGTGCAAAGTGAAGGAAGGAAGTCGAGAAAATGGCAGCGAGTGGTCGGGCTGCTGAGGGAAAAAGAGGGGGAGATCTCAAGGGTCTCATGGGAATCCAAAGAGGCCCAACTCCCAACAAAATAATCCAGCCAACCCCTTCAACCCACAGCCTCCAGGGAAGGAAGCAAAGCTATCTCATGTTAAGATGGACATCAAAGCTTTCCAGCTGAATCTGAATAACCTTTTATCCAGACTTGCAGGGGGCATTATTTCCGAAGCCACTGAACAAGCAACACAAAATCCCCAAGCTAAAAGCGTCAGCTACTCAACATTTATCGATTAAATTTGGTTTGTAATGGGAGGAAAGTGGCTACAAATATCTTCTAATGGGCCCCGAAAACCTCAGCAGCCTCTGAAGGGGGCAGCAGTCGACACCCTCCTGGAGAGGAAGTAAAAACACGGTTTCACGGCTTGAGACTGGGATTAAAGAGCCTTGAAGTGAAATACCTTCTGTTTGCCTCAAGAACCACTGGCTCAATCACAACCTCTTACATGGGGTGGTTTCAGCCACGTCAGTGGTGGAGCAGCACAGGGGATTTCAGACTGTTTTCCAAGGCATGACACGCGAATCCCACTGATTTCGCGATCATTGGACAGTTGTTTCTTCTCTGAAATACCTTTCTTATCACTGAGCACAAAATTGCAAAAAAAGTAATTGAAACTATCAAACATGACCAGCATTGAATATTCAACTCAGTGTCACTTGATGTTTCAGTGAAAGCTTTTCCTTATTTTAATCTTTGAAAGCAAGTGGTTGTTGATGTCCCACAGTGCTTCATGACCAGATGTCTTTCTTTTTTTTTAACACTCTGTACGCTTAGATTGGCAAATGCTTAAATGCTTTGCGTTGATTGATTCCTTAGGAAAGATGTGGACTGTCAACACTCATCACACAAATCCCTGCTCGACATGACAGAAACCAAACATCATGAGCAAAGAAAGATGACATGAAAGATGAAGTCGAGGCTTACAGCGGGTTGTGGCGATCGATCCACCACAGGTAAGGAGTGGAAAAGGAAGGTGGCTAACAGAGAAGATAGCATTTCCAGATCTGGAAAACATATTCAAGTCTTTGCCAGAGTTAAAGCCTTAGAGGGAAACGTGGCGTTAGGACTGTTCTGTTTCAAAAAACGACCACAAAAAAAGGATTGTGTTAATCAAGTGTCAATTACACAGCATTTTATAATACGTGAATGATGTTCCCACCCAAATCTAAATGATGGCCATACTGCCCAGCCACAGTAGTCGAAAGATGACAAAAAGAGGGTGACAAAATAAAACATGTCTTAACATGACCGTATAATTAAGAAATGGACATGATCAGAAAAATGTTTTGGTTATGTGAATTCAGTTATTCTGAAACCTTAACTATCCCCCAGTTATTAACAGTGGGGAAGCCATCAGTAGTGTTTAGATGATGGCAAGCAGACTAAAGAAAAGTGAAGGAGAAACATGACTCAGTGCCTATAACCAATCACCTTCAGACAAACAGCTGCAGCACAAGCATGAATGTAGTTAGACTCAAACTACCAGCATAATAAACCTTCCACACCAGAGGGCTCAACAAACCCACAGACAAAAAAAAACTTTGTTACTTTTTTTTTTTTTTTAAATCAGGCCTGGTCATGATGAGATCACTGAGCTCAGCATCAGGGTTGTTTCTCAAAGGATGGGCGGATAAAAAAAAAAAAAAAAAGCCACCTTCCTTCTCTGTGGAGTAAAACGAACAGAGGCTGGTAGAATTTGTTTTTCCTTCTGTGGACTTTTGATTTGTGTAAAGCTGTTTAGCCTGCATTATGTATTTCATGTAGAGTTCTTATGGGATGTACTTGGATCTATAACCTTCTTCCAGGAGAACTTTGTGAACCTTGGCTGATCTAAACATGGCTTTTTTCTGACGATTTGCTGCTTTGTGTCGTTTTGTTTAGTTGGTTGGTTGGTTATTTAGCCATTTTGTGTAGATTTCCTCAAATCTGTTATTGTAGCATTTAGCTGCCTTCAGGAATGAGGCAGACGCTGTTTTCCTTTCTTTGTTAGTTTTGTGTCTTCTCCTTTACTCTGAGGGATTGTAGTTTATTAACTCTTCCAGGGAACATACTTTCTGATCACAGTAAGAATGTACTTCACTGTTGTTTAGCCTTCTCATCTCAGCCGTCATGTGACAATCATGTTACGAGTACATGTTGCCATGTTTAATTGACTTAGAAGTAGTTGTTTTGTTGACGGTGTGCGAAAATATCACCCTGTTCCACCACTGAAATCCTAACATGTTATAGCTTTAAAAACCTGCTGCCGTAATATTATTGCTTTGCTGTTCTTTTTCCATCTTCTGAGCCATAATGAATTTGAACATGTGCAGTGATCATTAAAAAAAGTGAATCAGCTGTAGATTAGTTGTAAAACATTTGGATCCAGACTCTTGATTCTCATCAGGAGGCAAAAATGTAATCAATGGCCAAGAGAGCTCAGTATGATGTAAATAATTTGAAATTGTCTTTTTTGCAGTGAAGTTTGATCACATGGTTGTTTCTTGTTAAACTGAATCAATAAAGGCTTTCAATTTGAGCACTTTGTATGGCATGAAATCCAGTTATTTATTAGGAGAGGCTCACAGAGGAATCTTACAGATACTGTACAGTAATAAAACTTTTATTTACATAAGTCAGAGCAGTTTTCACGCTGTTGCCTCTGCCGCCTTTTTAGTTTTCATCTGTTTTCTCTTCATTAGTTTCTTCTTCAGCTGTCCATGCTTCTGTTTTTGAATGCTCTCTTGGATTTTCTGTTTGAACAGCTTCTTCTTGCTCCTGATCTTCTCCAGCTCAGCCTTCCTCTTGGCCTCCAGGTCTGGATCCTGAAACGGCAGTCGGATCACAAATCAGCCAATTGTTATGACATTGTCTCAACTGAGAAGATGTTTAAATGGGTCAGTTTTTAAACAGATTAAATAAAGCCTGTCAAGGAGAAACTGTCCTCAGTTCTAAACAAACCAGGTGTGAATTAAGCGGTCTAAGACGGGTAACGTCTCTTAAGTACAAACAGGTCAATACATTTTTTTAATTATTTGGTTTACAGAGAATTCCCTTTAAAAGATGTGCGAAACAAAAATAAATTATTCAGTATTTAGCTATATGAAACTTACCTGTAGTTTTATTTCCCTGGACAAATACAACTTCTTGCATGCTCATATGACTTAAATAGACTTAGAGTTTGGTTGTGCTGGTATGAAGTTTACATTACTGCTGTTCTTCTCCCAGCACCTTTGATAACTTACCTTTCCCTCCAAGATCAGCTGTTTCCTCTTGTTGATCTCCTTTTTCTCGTCAAAATCTGTGGACTCCAGTTTCTAAAATGCATACAAGAGAATACCATCAAGGAAAAGAAATCAAGAATGCCAGACACACTAACTGTCTGTCTAGAACGCTAATTCAGCCGAGTAGAAAGTATGAACAGCTACATTTGAAAAACGTAGTTTCGTAATCGAGTTAATCTATCGAGAATATCTAAATCCCAGCCTACACTAAAATAAAGTCTTTGTGGAATGTCAGCTCACACGAACAAAGCTCACAAGCTCCCAGTTTTTAAACTGAGTCAGGCCCGCTAAACTTGAACTTAATGTTACTTTTAAACTTTCCTGTATAATAAATGGAAAATGAAATTTATGCGCTCACACTGTACAACCTGAATATCGGGCACGACCTGAGAGCGCACACTGTATGTGTAAAATCATGACAGAGCATTTACAATTAAAAAAAAAACTACAGATGGAGGTTGATTTCAGTTGTTCCATATACACGGCTCAAATAGGCTGCACACACACACACACTGGTAAAAAACGTTCCCACTCTCGCTGCTAAATCTTAAATATTTACAGTCAGTTGGGGGGCTGCAGATATTTCTGTCATTGTTTCCGTTGCTTTGGGGGCAGTCATACGACCAAAATATCAAACATGTCAGAAATGTATCTGACTATTCGGGAGCAGCTGATTGAATGGTGGTCGGCTGTCGTGTCTGAAACTACGAACAGGCAATCGGGTTGAAATTCGGTGCAACTTAAAATGAAAGTCTAAATTGGCCTGAAATTGTGACAGTTAAGATGTGACTTAATGTCTAAACCTGCGGAGAAAAAAAAAAAAGGCAACTCACTATTTCACACTCTCGTCGAGTCACATTGACCTGGGTGAGGATCTTCAGGACTTCTTTCTCTACCACGGGATACTCCTTTAACTTTGTTTCTGTAGTAACAGAACAAGAGTGAAGTCAGACCACCCACACGTTTACACATACTGCAGACATTTTTACAAACTTTACAACCACGGAACGTACGAGTCTGTGCTTCGATGGCTTGGACCAGGTGGATGTCGTACTGAGTCACCAGTGTGATGGACACTCCGTTCCTCCCTGCGGAGAACGACAACCTTTTGATGTCTGAGCTGCATTTAATGAACGATCGAACTGGTCATAGAGGGGAGACGCGCCGGGTGTTTACTAAAAGGCTAAGAAATGTTACCTGCTCTGGCTGTTCGGCCGACTCTGTGGATGTAGATCTTGGGAAGGCCGGGCGTGTTGTGGTTGATGACAACCTGGACAGTTGGAATATCCAAACCTCTGTAAAACAGAAAGGACATGACGGATGTTAAAGTAAGGCTCGTTTAGCCAATCTGAAAACACTGCAGCACAATTTAACTTTTTCATTTTTCACACTAGACGGAAAAATTAGCTTAGTGGAGCGTCTTACCGTGAAGCCACGTCTGTTGCGATGAGGATTTTGTAGACGCTGGCCTTGAACTTGGCGAGGTTTGCGAATCGTTGTTTCTGGAAAAGGTCAAGAGCTGCTGTTTACTAGGGAGGCCCATTCATGTGCTTTAATCCACTTTAATCCCTTACACTGACTGTTTCTATATTACCACAAAAGGCTTTGTGCTCATTCATGTCTCAGTCTTTGTGTTAGTGAAACAAAAAGGATTTCCACATCAGACACAAGCTTGTTGAGCTGTGAGGACCTCCGATATGACACACATCAGTCAAATTTCAGCCATTTGTTCAAAATGTTGGCATCACTTTTGTTAAACTGGAGAGACTCCTTTAAAAGCCCTTTCTTTCTTAACTTACTGACAAAAATGTTATTTTAGGCATGAAAGTCTTACCTGTTTCATCATGGAGTGCAGGGAGATGGTTGGGAAGTTAAATTCACGCAGCATCATGGTGAGGATCTGACAGTCCCTGAGAACAGAAAAAAAACACGTTTATATGCAAACTGGCACTGATCACTCATTCTCATGTTTCAAATACATCAAAATAAATGTTTTCTCCATCTATGTACAAATAGGAGAAAAACTGTGGGCTGTTTGTCATTGCGTATCTTGTCCAGCTATAACTACAGATGTCGCCTAAATGCTTAATATTGCATATTTTCTGACATTTGAATTGTTGAGTTTCTTACTTGCAGGTGTTGGTGAAGACGATGATGGACCAGTCGTTGTGCTTGTCAGTAAACATCTGGATCAGGTGGACCAGATAGGCGTCCTTCACCTTCTCTGGAGTCAGGATAAACCTCTGATCCAGCTCCTCCACAGTTTTTGTCCTGAACAATAATGTTACAAATCACAATAGAGTTGAGCACTGATTAAGGCTCCGTGTACAGAACGTCAACCCTGGAGCTGGTGTGGATCAAGGACCAAGATTCAAAAATAAGTTTATGAAAAGGATGTTTGGAAACTTTGCTTCCTCTTCTCTGCTGATCAAGTCTCGGCGGCGCCAAAGTTAAACTTCAGGTTTTAAGTGGAAAGATGCTCAACAGTGCTCAAAAAAATTGGTGTTAAAAGTTTCTGTATTTTTCTGCTGCGCATCACAACCTCTGTGAAACACACCTGCTCGAGTTTGTAGCTGCTTTCTGCACAGATCTGAACTCTGGAAAGCGGCCAAACATTTGTGAATAAAAGGATAAATGCTCGCTTAACCTAACTTGACATTTCTGCTGCATGTATTTTCACAACTTGACATCCAAATGTATTTTTGCAAGAGGATAGATTAGCTGCAGCCCAGTTCAGATTACATGCAAACTGAATTTCCAGGCTGGTGCTCCAGTTTTATAAATAATTAACAAGATTTAATGCAGAGGTGGTGCACAAAAGCCCCTTTAAATTTTGCTTTTAATTAGGATTTTAGGTTGATACTAATACATTCAGTGAAGATCCGCTTCACACAGAATTCTTACCACAGATCAAAACGATATCTGTACTTTCTTCCTTCTCCATGACTGACTGACTGAATGTTCGTGTGAATGGTTTTCAAACCGCTGCAGTTTTACTCACTCTGACTTGCTCTCCCAGAAGTGAGGCTTGTTCATGGCGATGCCCTTCAGCTCCTGCAGGGTGTCTGTGAGTGTGGCGCTGAACAGAAGCGTCTGCCGCTTAGCCGGCAAAATCCCCAGGATGGTCTCCAGATCTTTGGTGAAGTCGGTGCAGCCTTGCTCCAACAGGCGGTCTGCCTCGTCTAGAATCTGACACACAAAAGAAAAGATCACAAGCTGTACTAGTCTACAAACACAAAACTGGGTTGGTTAAGTACTTTTAAAGGCTCGAAACATACGGCGAACCTCATATTGAGTCCTAACTAAGTCAAACATGTCTTATTTCTTATTTAGAGATATAGCTGAGAGAAACTGTTAAAACCTGGTCCAAGTCTTTGTTCCCTCCTGAACTCACCAGAAACTGGATCTTTCTCATGCTGAAGGTGTTGGAGCTGCGGATATGATCAGCCAGCCGCCCAGGCGTCGCTACCACCACATGCGGCTGGTTGGAGAGCTCCAAGGCCTGAGTCACCATGTCTGCCAGAAACACAAACGCCAAATGTCAGCAGAGAGGAGACTCTCAGACAGGATTTAAAAGTAAATTGCAGCAGCAGCATTGCAACACCAGGGCTTTAAACTCTGACAAACTCCTATAAATGAACATAATCACACAAATCTGACTCTTGGTTGTTATCCAAGTGATACTCGTCTGAAGTTAACTTCAAAGATTCAAGATGAAAGCCCTGTGAACAGAAATCTGCATTGAGGCAATGCTCATAGCTTTACCCATTCCTCCAACGATAATCAAGTCTCTCACTCCGAGAGGCTTCCCCAGGACTCGAAATTGCTCTGCAATCTGATAGGCCAGCTCCCTGCATGACATCACAATTACGACATTGATTTATTACAAGAATAAGATCATACAACTCTGTTCTACCTAGTTTGAGAATAAATAACATGCAGTACAGATATGATATAATATATTTATATATTTTTTTAAAGCTTCCTCTGTAGTCCTACACACAGCTTGTAGGACTACACAATCTTACACCACCTGCAATTAACAGGAAGAACAATCATCCAATTTAATGTTAAAGGCAGCCAGTATTAGTAGTACCTAATTTATTAAGAGTAAAATGAGATATAAGAAGAGACACAGCACAGACCTGGTAGGAGTGAGCACCAGGCAGAAGATGCCATAAGGGTCTTCTGACAGTTTCTGCAGGACTGGCAGCACAAACGCTGCCGTCTTCCCACTTCCAGTCTTAGCACAGCCCATACAGTCCCGACCTAGAAGAAAACACAATGACATCATTCAAACTTGTTTATTTTTTATTTAATTAAATAAATAAATAAAAATCACCTAAAGTATTATGCTACTTTTTATACGGTAACATTACAATCCACGAGAAACATCAAATAACACATTGACATTTTTCTTCACAGTGATGATGTCATTTATTTTCCAAGAGATCTTTTTTTGGAAAACTCCACGAAAGTCCCCAATAACATGATCAGTCCTGAGAGCAGATGATTTATTGAATTATTGCTCAGAAGCAGAGTGAGATAAAAAAAAAAAGAAAAGAATTGTGAGGTAATAAAGCAAAAACATATAAAAGGTAAAAGGATGTGGAGCAAAAGCGACCCTCAACCAGCTCCAAAAATAACAATTAAAATCCAAGAAAAAAATATATTAATAATGAAAATACTCTAACCCTAAGGAAAGTAATGTCTTGTGATGTGTTTATTTTCTAATGTCCACTTGTGTTGATAAGTTAAAACAACAAGATTTGGGTCATTTGTATCAAAAAAGACACAGGTTGTTGTTGGCCTTGTCATGGTTCGTTTTTACCTGACTCATTAACAGAAGCTGTCTCACCTTGTAGAATAGCCGGCATGCAATTTTCCTGCACAGGAGTGGGTTTGTTGATGCCCAGCTGCTTACACTGCTTAACCAGCCAGTCTGACAGACCGAGAGAAGAAAAGTCAGCCATGTCGCTTTTTCCTTTTTCTCGCCCTCCAAGGATTGATTTCTCAGCCCGTGTGTGATTATTTTACCGAATAATCGCTACAAAAAAACTATTTCAACACAAAGCAACACATCCTCGTGTGTCACATCAACAGTCGCGTTATGATTACGACACGTGGGATGTTCCTCTTCCTCTTCTTCTTCTTCTTCTTCCTCATTTTAGGAACAGCAGACAGGACCAAGCATCGGCGCTTTGCAGCCCTCTGCTGTTCTCTTGTTGATATAGCAAGCTTCTGCTTCTTCTTCGTCTACATATTTACAGTCTATGAGCAACACTTCATATCCTACATAAACCAGTTTTGTACTAAGTAAGCTGACTTCTTCTCGTATCCCACACTTTAACCCCATTTGTCTCCCAATGTCCCGTCCAGGTTCCAGTCTTGTCCGGCCTCTCTCGCCTTTTTCTCGTAACCTTTTTCTGACTGCATTGTCTTTAGCACTCTGCATTATTATGTGTTCAATCATTTTCTTTTGTATTTGGCCTACAGTAGGCACATGCTTCTGAACTAAATGTTCCCATTTAATACAGTGTTTCATGCAGGCTACCAATCAAATTAAGGAACACATTTAATGAACTGAATAGTATTCCCACCATCTTTGACGGTTATGTCAAACTTTAATACCATGTTTGTAACTGTGACCGACATTTTCTGTGCACCAAACCCACCCACCTATCTCAAGCTTTGCACCACAGACAGATGTCTCAATGATCTTTTCCAATTTGCTTAGGAGCTCATCACCTGCTCTTCATGTGTCTACACTGAACAATGTGGATGACCTACACAAGGTGTTTTATGTTCATTGACACAGACAATGTTATTAATTGTGATGAATTTCAGAAATAAGGACAAATATGTTGGCAAAAAGCGGTATTCATTTGTAATTAGATTATTTTGAAAGAGACACCTTTTGCATTTTCTTTTTTTTTTTAATTCAGCACTATTTATGATGAATTAAAAACGTCTTCTCTCTCCATGAAACTGAGAAATATACAAAGATAAGAAAGATGATTCATTTCTTATCCCAGCATGATTTTAATGTGGGTCTACTTTATCTGCTGCGGTCTAATTTCACCCTGCAGGCTGCACATGTTTATATCAGCTTGAAAATGTCAGTGCTCTTTATTCAGTAGTAATCAGAAAGGGCTAATGTGTGTGTGGTGGAGGGCTTACTGCCTCCTCTTTATCTCTGGCTGGTCTAAAAACTCTCACCTTAATCACTCTTTATTGGCTCTACGTGCCTTTCCTGCTGACTTTCTCCTCTCACTGAGCTGAAATGATTGGGCCTGAAGTTGCCTCTCACTTTAATTAGGCTGATTTTTTTAAATTGTTAGCCTGACATTAAATAGTTGTGAGGAAAGCAGAATTTATGAAACTCCTGAAGGAGATAAACTACATGCAAACAAGAGCTAGGTTTGTGTCTCTTCCTGTAGAACCTTCTGTAAACATGACATGAGTGATTAAAACAGGGATGAACATATGAACAGAAAAGCTGGACCTTTTGCAAATATATTTCTGCCATTATTTGTATTTAGAGTTAATGTGCAATCAAAAATCATTGCGATTCAAATGGCGGCTGTTTTCCTTTGACATCATGCTCAAATGATCTTTCTTATTTTTGTGTTCTAGATTAATAAGCAACTAAAACACAATGAACATTGAGAATATAGATAAAGTTAAACAACATATTTGATAAGCAATGAGCAAATGGTTTAGCCTTCGACTAATGTTTGCGTTCAACCACTCTACCTAACATTACATTTGCTAGCTAACATTAAATTCCTGGCTAATATAACAATCCAGACCATATCTGACTTTTACAACGGCCTGGAAGATGACAGCCAGGAGAACGGTGAGGTTCAACCTAAAAATCTATCTTTAATGTGTTTGCAGAGGAGTAAGCTAATGAGAATAAGAGGAGCTTATGATTATGTTTTATTATACAATTTGTGAATATTAAAAGTGGGCAGTTATCAGTAGTTATCTTTGGACATTAAAAAGATAGAAACATATTCATCTTTAATAGTTCTTTCTCACAATGAACACTGTTTTTTTTCTATATTTATGGCATGAGGTAGCAGTTGTATTATTTAAAGATACAAAAAAAAAAATGTCAATATTTTAAACTTGACCATTTGAAATGCCCAGTATTAACTTCCTCCTTCTCTTCTTCTTACCTTCAGTGTTTGTATGGAACTTGGCGGCACAGACTCAGCTGGTCAAAGCCACCACAGCCATCGAGAGTGCAGTGTTTGTTACCATGCAGTGGTTGGCCAGCATTAAACCCTCCTCTGGCCTGCTCTGCTCCATTGCTGAAGAGCCATGTCAAGAAAATGGGAGGATTCTTCCAGCTGTTCATTCAGGTACACACAATTATTGCACCGCATGGAAGACCATGCAGTGACATTTGATTGTGCTTTTCTTGGGATTTGCATGATATGAAGTAACTTAAGGAGTGAAGAATCTGACCTGAATGACTTGACTTGGTGTAATTCGGACAGAGGTGTCTAATCAAAATGCACAGCATTAATTGACGTGTCTTAGCTCTGAGCTGTTTGAGCTCTGTCTATGGAAATGACCAAGCAGAGGGAATTCTTAACCTTGAGCCCCAAACAGAACATGAATATATGGAAAATAAATCTAAATTCCTTACCAGCCTCAGCACGTAAACACACAATTTAATCGCTAGGAAATAAAATCTTTCCTGGATAATTGTGTAGTTCTAGGTCAAAAAAGCATTCTGAAAAGGAAGTTCCTATCTAACTTTATAGTGAGTAGGCTAATCAGCTGAATGCTAGTGTTAGGTCCTGTCTGACCATAGCTATTAAGTTATCATATGTTTAAGCAACATCACACAAGAGGGAGTGATGTTGTAGCCCACTGAATACCAGCACTGCTGTGATTCAGTTGTAGGAACAAGGCTGCAGGCCGAAGATAATCACAGCACAGCTGATATTCAGTACAAAGTCTTGACCTCGAGTTTTATGTTGCTTTTATACAACAATTATACAAGCAGAAAGTAGCATTCAAAATAATAATCAACAACAGATTTTTTTTTTTCACTCCACTAACTCTACATCTTCACTGAAACTAGACTGTTGCCAAGCAACCCAAACATCCTTTTCTACTGCACTCTGCTACTCTGTTGGTGTCCATGGTTACCACAGACCACCGACTTAATAGTATGAACATTTACTTGTATGTTCAAAGAAATTAATTTGATCGAGGAACCAGGGAAATTAGAGTCTGTTGTGCAATTCTGAGCTATGAGATTGATTAATAAAACAAAAAAACACTGTCAGCAGTAAACATGAATCAAAAAAACTCCTGGCTGAGTTGATACATATTGTGAAAAGTCCCAGTGACACATTGAATGCTTCTTGTCCAATCAGAATTCTCGGTCAGAACTAATTGTCGTTTAATTTAACTTGAAATGAGGCCAGATGTCCCTCTGAATTTCACTTTTTTGTCTTTTCAGTTTCTAATCTATATGAATTCATTCAGGATCAATAAAGTATTGATCTATCTCCATTCAAGCCCTAAGAGGCATCCATACATTTGATTTTACTCTGTTTCCCCCTAATATTGAAATGATTCAATTTCATTTTTTTTCTTGAGAGCCTTTCTTATTTACATTGTTATTTGAGAATAACAATGCAGGTCTTTCAGTGATCCCACGGGATTAATAAAGTTCCTATCTATCTATCTATCTATTTATCTATCTATCTATCTGTAAAGAGTTAAATTGAGTCTTTTTCTGGAGATATCAAAACCGTCTGGAAATTACTCTTTTTCACAGTAAAATCGAGTAATCCGAATCAGCTTTATTGGCCAGGTACGCTTACACACACAACGAATTTGACTGTGGTTAAATGTGCTCTCTATGTACAAAAAATACAACACTAAATATCAATAATAAACACGAAATAAGGAAAGACTTATCTACAAGGCAACAAAGAAATGTAAGGCTGTACCTGTGCTCGCTTATGGCTAACTATTTAATATAGAACAGATAGGGAGAGAAACTACAACCAGATAGGGAGAGAAATCTTCCACAAGAAGTCACATCTGTGTGTGCACACTGGGCTTCCAGTGGTTATTAATGGTGTGTGTGTTAAAGCCAGAGGCCTGCAGGTTCAGCCCAATCTTGTCCACTCCGTCCAGCTGTGCTGCAAACTGCCTCGGCCCGGCTGAGAAGTGTCTCTCTAAAAGAGCACAAAGGTTGTTTGCATGTGAGGCAGAGATCTGATGTTCCCTGTTGTCTCCCTGCAGCACAGGCAAGCAGTCAGCTGCAGAGCTGTAACAGTCCACTGAGCAGCACGCTGAGTGCACAGGAACTGCTCACATCGCTCTTCCACTACATTTGATGCTGCATGCGCTCTCTCATGTTCAGCCAATATCCACACAAATAAATGCTTTACTTTAGCGTAAGTGGGGACTCAAAAAACAGGGATCTGTATTACCCAATTAGGTTAAGAGCAGCTCTTTTGAAAGTGTTGAAGAGTTTTGGATTTTCCCAAGAAAAGTAAATCAGGGAAATAGCTTTTAAGTTTTCTTGTCATCTTGTTTCTTCATCTTTTGAGCAAATGAGCAGCTCCATAAAAGTCAGACTCCTCCCAGAATCCCTTTCCAGAGTAACTCAGTCCAGTATTGACAGAGTTACTATCGTGAAATGTTTTTTTTTTATGTAAATGTATGTGTTGTTTTGTTTTTGCAGTACTTAATATGATGTATTTTTATTTTTTTTACTATGAATACTGCATCAAATTAGGTCAGGAATAGTTCATCTAATGGAGTTATAAAAGGGGACATTAGCTATTTAAAAAACTTAATCAGCAGGATAAGAAAAGACAATGCAGGAATTCTAGATGTGATTTTTTCCAATTACATTACATTTTATGAAACTAGCCCTCCATCTGCTGAAAAATTACCATACTGACTTTCCACTTGAGTTACTTTGTTATGTTCTTGTGTGTATTTGATTCGGTTTGAGTTTCTGTGTAATCTTTCAAGTCTCTTCTGTCATGTTTGTTCAGTATTATTCAGGTTTACTTTGGTTTAGTGTTCCAATGTGATTTCTGGCTAGATGAACACTCATTCAATGACATAATCATGGCTATAAAAAAACTAACCTATGAATATTATATTAATGCACAATATTTCTTCAGGGTGCTCATGTTAATGTGGTAAAGTGAATTATTGAGCTTTATGGTATTTTTAGACCATCAGATTTCCAGTCTAAACGTTGTATTCTGTTCCATATACACATCATGAAACCCTGACCATTATAATGTCTGAGAGGATTATTATATAGCTCTATATAAACCGCTTTATGCTGACAATCTGATATAAAAGGGGATCAAATGCAACATTGAACATTTGAGTATTTGCTGAAGCTCTTTGTAAACAGCTATTTGGCTTCTGCTCTTTAATGTCAGTTGCTTCGAGCTTTTATTACGCTGCACTTCATAAATACGCTTTCAAGGCAGCCTTCAGGCCATTTCCACATATTAAATTTCACATTCTGACATTTAAGTGCAAAGTAGTTGAGAATGAGGACGAGAGGCGTCCATTGTAATTGTCATTGTTGCCATCAGATGGCGCTAAAGAGGCTCCACGGTCCCGCTGAGTGAGTTGAATGAGGTCCCAGTGTGATTTGCCACAGAGGCGGCAGCGGAGCATAGCACTCGTCCTGGAGGGGGTTTAAACCCTAAGAAAAACTCTGTTGATTGTCTTGAATTGATATTCCTTCGTGTGTCCGGCCTGCAGAGCTGAGAAAAACTGTGCGCGGTGCGTAATTACGCACGGGGACGACGGATCTGCGGTGTTGCTCGCAGTGGAAACCCGCGGACAAAGGAAGGCAGGCAGGCAGGCTGGAGTACAACAACTGACTTGAGAAGAGAGGAGTACTGTCGGAGGGGAAACGGGTGGAATCTGGAGTCGGAAGTGATTTGTCATTCTTTTTTTCGAAATGTAACTTGAAACGTTCAACATTTCCAGGAAGAAGCGAGACAGTTTGGAAAGCGAGGGGAGTAGAGGAGAAACAGTGGAGTGGTGAGTGGAACCAGTCTGCAAATCAGCATCCAGATCTTCGGAGCATGGGGTAAGTTACAGAACCGTGTTTGAAATGTGCTGCTCGCCTTTCTGTGCTGTCTGGAAACGACACAATGCTTAAAAAGTTAACTTTGTCTTGAATTTCGGTCATTTCAGCCCATGGTTGTTTGAGTGGTTGTTTGATGCGGCTGTACAGCTTTCTGTTTTTACCGCTTGAAACCATTTGGAGCACTATATGAAACAATTAATATGACTCTGATACGCGGACGGTTTGTTCAAAATGGACACAAAATGGGAACAAGTAAAGCTGTGCCAGATCTGTGTGTGTGTGTGTGTGTGTGTGTTTGTTTGCTGTGTGTGTGTGTGTGTGTGTGTGTGTGCGTGTTTGCGTGTGTTTTGTTGAATTATTCATGCAAGGCTTTAGCTTGTTTCAAACACACCTGAACCCTGCTTGAATTACCAGAGTCGATGCTGTCAGCCTTTCTCTCTTTCGGTCGGTGTAGTGACACTTTAATTGAGATGCCACTCAAAGCATCCTAAGTGGCTACTGTGTTATCTCTATTATGGTCCAGGTTGGGGGGCATCAGGGGAAGCGATTGCTTCACCTGATAGTGCCCAGGATGCCCTTGTGGTAAAGAAAACGGGATAAAGTGCCTTTTAGATTTAGCCTTAAAAGTCCATTAAATTATGTGTCCACACTAAACCTGTGTCTCCTCCCCACACAGAAACTAATGGTGCATAAAGGTGGTACTCAACGTCTTGTAAAATCACATATCAAATCACTAATTAGCAAGGTTACAAGCTTACTGAAACATCTACTCACACAGCAGGATGTAAATCTGGTTCTCTTCTGAGGGAAGAGACTATCTTTAATTGTTTTTCCATGTTGAAAATATGTGAGTGAAGGACTTAGAGGCAAATCATGTGACAACACCAGTCCAGTAAAGAAGGGGGCACTGATACCTGTATGTAGCCTCCCAGGCCTCATCCTTTGCACCTCAATCAAATAATTTTGAACAAGGCTGTGCCTATAAGGGTCAGGCAGTTCAAGCGGTATGAACACTTTATCTCAGTAATAAGGTCTGACAGTAGAAGGTATCAGGTTGAATGTGCAGCCCAACAGAAACAGTGGGAACTGAAAGCCCCCCCACCCCACCCCCCGTGATAGCTAGATAAAGCAGTAGAGTGAAGTTTTTGTCACTGTGGGTACACATCTATCTATTTTTCATGAGGAAAAATGAAATGCTTGTAAACAGCCTTTTCCATGTTGAATAGTAAACACAATGGCTTGGACCGACCTACATTTTAGTTGTCCATAATTTAAGGTATTTTCCTTTTTTCCTAAGATGTCATGCAAAGGAACATTGGATTTATTTTTGGGTTTTTTGTGCCTTTATTGTAGACATGGGATGGTGGATAGAGTCGGAAATCAGGGAAAGAAGTCATTTAAGGATACCTTTCCGATAGAACAGGACAGCTGTCATTAGAAGTAACGCATGAACACCAAGATTCCTTCAAGTGTTTGTGTCGGCGTCCGTCTGCCCGGCACCTCCCCCAAAGCTGTAAACCTAGGGGAAACGCTGAACATAGATAATTGTTTGCTGGCTAATCTTAAAATTAGAGTTAGGTATAAGTGACTTTCTAATTAAAATGTCACTATCCATTGTTTTTCAGGTGCTGATTAATTGTGGATTATTGAAACAATTGTTATTTGGGAAATTTCCGAACGTTTTACTAAATGTGGAACACAGCAGTACAACTTTATGACAGCATTTGAGCTTCCTAAGACGAGTGTAACGTCAGAGGAAAAGGCTCTGTTCCTTCCTATATTGTACAGAATTCATCTTGCTTTCTAGTCAGCCGTGTTGTTGTGATGCTACCTCATATACTGTATCCTGCATGTTAGCTTTCCCTGACTCAAGAGTTGTATTATCCAATATTTACAACATCAACAGTAGCCTCTATTTTTCTAAACTACCTGCTAAAAACTACCTGCTAACATCTCATGAACTCATTAGATATCTGGTGAAGTGTCCATAGCATATTACTGTGTTGTAGAGGATCACCTGAATGAACCACACACTAGCTTATCAATATATACATAAATATTAAGGGGTGCTTAGGGTATGGATGATGTACCAGACAATGTGTGTACAATTGTCTGCATTATTTTGGTCTTTTGTTTTGATTTTAAAGTATCGTTTTTAATACATGTAACTTGATGTTGGAGCGTTTTACCTGATGAGTGTTTAAATATTATAAGAAATATTGGGGATATTTGTACAAGTTTGTTTGTGTCTTTGTCAATCAAAGGAGTTACTAAATAATGGACAAGTTTTCAGGATGTCATTTGCACTGTGTAACTTGAATCCTCTCTCCTCTTGTCCTGCTGCAGAGGAGTTTTCTGCGAACTGTAAAATGTTCCCGCTACATCGAGAGAGGTACAAACACATGTTGTCTCTGTGTTGTGGATCTGCATGGAAGGGATGGGTAATAGTTTGCGCTCTCCTCCCAAATACTAATGATAACCAGAAGGCTGTTGATAGCTTCCAGCAGAAAATGTTGCTTAAATGCCAGCATGGACTTGGTTATGTATTCATATTATAGTGATTTTTAATAAACATGGATGCATGCACAGTCAAATTTAAAGGCTGATTTAAAAAAAAAAGTCCAAATTGAAATTCAGTCACAGCTTTTGTGTATTAATGCAAGTCTGGTTTGAAAAATACAACACCAGAATCTGCACTACTTGATACTTGGGAGATCAATCAACCCATCCCTACTTCATCAGTTAAGCATTCATTTGCCACTGATCAAAATCCCATCCACATTGTGTTAATCCTCCTCTCAGTATCTGTGGTCAATTCTAATGCACTTGTAAAGACATGTTGTAAAGAGAGGTGGTTTTGTCATCAGTATGCTCTTGTCTTGCTGTCATTGTCTAGTGTCCCTTCCATCATTTCGTCCTAGCTTTTCTATCACAGCTTGAATGCTACATATACTGTTTGATTGTTTTTGGATTTTTTTTCTTGGCAGAACTTACTGAAAAAACAACTGCAGCTGTCAAAGATATATTATGGTACAAGTAAAAACATGCAGAGGACTGGAAATCATTATAAAGGAAATGGAAATTTGAAAGAGATGCAGGTCACAACAGTGACTCAAATCCAAACCAAAGCTAACCAAAGCCGTGGTACACTATAAAATGCATTTGTGGCCTACAGTAAATTGTTAATCTGTTTAGTGGCAACTAAAAACTGTAAAAGAAGTACAACACCACTCTCATATCTTGGTATTTACTGAAGAGCTAAAGCTACTTGATAATAAGCATAAGCTAGGCTAATCAAGGAGAATGAAACTATCTTAGCTAAGATAACATTGTGATTTCCTAGCACGACCCCATAGAGTCATTTCACTATCTGAACTTTGCCCCCCCCAAAAAAAACTCCACTTGGCTAAACTACTTTTAGTCATTTCTGCTTTTGTAAATGTAGTAAATAAGGACTCTAGAGACATACTAATATTTAATGTGTGACAAGTATCTGCTATCTTGGTAAACAACTCAGAGATGTGCTAATATCTAGGCTGAATCTGCCGCTATGGTGCTGTGAAAAGTTTTAGCCTGTTAGTGTGTTCAATGTACAAATGAAGAAGTGCTAAAATAGCTAAAGGCATATTTCAATATTTTGTAAATAAATTATTTCTTGTTGGGAGTGGTATACAATTTATAGCCCACCACACTCAAATCTGTAGACTATAGTAAACATGAGGCCACAGCTATTTGCTAATTAGCTTGACCTGACTGAGGAAAATGCCTTTCCCAGCACAACTATATACACTTGCATCTTTAACCTTAAAATACTTATTCTATATCCTTAAAAACAAAGACAAAAAAACGTGTGTTGCTTCAGTGGAAATTACAAGTTCTGTGGCCCGCTGTAGTTGTCACCTAAAATTCCCAAACACACAACTAAACCACAACCTGTTATTTTAACAGTTTTGAGGTGCTGAGGTGTAAATGTTTGATATATTTCTCAACTTAAAATGTTTCTCTAGAGCAGCAGGATCTATTTATCTCCCCCTGTTTTCAGTGTTTGCACTACGCTAAAGCTAATCATCTCCAGGCTAAAGCCCCTGAAGAAATGAACACTGTGCGACGTAACTACTTGTTACAGCTGTTAGAATGTAAGTAAGTGGGGAAGCAGGTCACAGTTATCATTTTTCTACATAATTACAGAGGAATAAGGGAATGGTGATATTGCTGCCATTTTATCTAGTCTACTGTTTAAATCTGTCTTAATGTCCCCCTGTAGCCTTCATTTATTTCACAGAGGACATCTACTCTTCATTTCAGCTGCAACATAATCAATTAATCTGCAGCATAACACTATTAAAACTGTTTAGCTTCTGTGTCCTCCCACTGGCCAAGGAGAAAGCAGCTGCTCTCTGGGGAGAATAGCTCCTTTAATGCTGTTAGGAGACATCTGCATTTGCATGAATAAACAGTCATCTGAGCTAAATCTTTTTCTGTTCTCTTAATTTCCCTGGGTTTTATTAGCGTAGAGTCAGTTCTGCCGGAGGGCCAAGATGAAAGATCAGATTTTCCCTTCTGTCTCTCTCTAACCTTCATATTCTGAGTTTAAAAAAAACCCCACCAAACATGTCTCACCTTCACAATGTGAGACAGCAGAAAGTAAGACATCAGTCAGACTGCTGCAAGATAAGCTGACCCTCAGATAAGTGAAGTACTCTGCTGACATTGAACACAACCAGAGTTCACATTTTGGGGACTGTTCCATGTAATTTCCCAGTAAAAGGTCAAGTCTGAAAACATAGAACTACAATCCTTGTTCATGCTTTGCAGCAGTATGACTTGTTGAGCAGCTATAGTATGAGTTAGCGTTTTCCCTTGTGTTGCTATTTTGGTATGTGGTTGTAGCGTGTCATGTTGCTGGACTGGGCCAGACGCTTTCGCTGGCTCAGTCCAGCAACATGAGGAATGTGGACACGAGGCTGCACACTCTCTCCGAGGTCAGAGGAAGCAGACCC